AGAGCTTTCATGATGACGTCTGAGTGTCCAAGCCAGCGTGGTAGCTGGTCAGCCTGGTGCCGTACTGACTCGGCTGCGCTCAGAGCACTCTCGTGGAATCTATAGGCGTGCGGGATGCGCTTGTCCAGCTCAGCGAGCAGAGCGCTATGCCGACTGTACAGTGCGTTCAGATAGGCACTCCAGTCGTCTGTCATTTGCTTGTTGGATTCATCCAGCTTTTCCAACAGCGCCGCAGTGCCGTGGCCCTCCTGCCAGTTGGCGTGTTTCAGAAGCATGGAGCAGCGAAGAGCTGTGCCAACCGGCTCGAACCGGCTCCAAGTGTTTCGAATCAGGCTAGTGATGCGATAAAACCAGCGAGAGAGCTGTGCGCCACCACCATCAAACTCAGCCGGTACTTCCTTCATAACCTTCCGCATGTCTGCTCGAGCTCCGTCCAGAGCGTCGGTTACCACTGTCAGCAGCCAGGCGGCTCGTCGCTGCACACTCTCAGTCAGCTTGCGCCTGACCTCCGCCAGCGACACTTGCAGCAGGCCGGCACACAGCTGCGGTGGCATCACGTCCAGCTGGCTGTGCCATGCGATAAGCTGTTTCAGCTCGGTGATGACGTCCGTGAGCCGTGATGGAAGCTTGCTGGAGCGCGCATTGTCCACCCCGCAGTGGTGAAAAGCCTCAAGAATCCAGACATTATTCTCGATAAAGTCATTAACAATAGCAAAATCTTGAGCCATGGCAGATGTCAGGAGTGTGATCAGGGATGTTTGCTGTTCAACGGACCCCCAAGTTGCGTCACGCAGTACGTGAATGAACCTCACCTCATGGGCGTTCACCCGCTCGCTCGCCAGGGGGCTTCGGAACGTATCGGGCTGCCGCATAGCCCAGCCTTCCAGGCGCGGCTGGAGGGCTCTCTCTGCGCCCAGTTTCAGCATGCAGGCGGCGTCCCTGGTCATCTCTCGCAGCCTGGACTCCGCCTGCGCCCGGTCCGGGCGGATCAGCAGCTGCGGCCGCGCTGTGCCGGCCTCCTCGCCGCCGCCGCCGGCCGCCGGCTGCGCCACCTCTGCCTTGATCATCAGCAGCGACCTCCGCTCAGCCGTCAGACGGCTGGTCAGCGGCTCCAGCAGAGAGCACAGACTGGCGCTGGCGTGGGCCAGCACTAGACTGGCCAACAGCCGTAGAAACACCGGCAGCAGCGACTCCAGGCGGCGACAGCGCGCCACTCGACTGCGCAGGTGCGCCACGCGGCCGCGGGCAGTGCCCAGCACCGGACTGTCGTACGTACTGGGACAGTGCTCCTGGTGCAGGTGCCTCCAGGCTCGCTCCAGGTCACTTACCAACTGTCGGCACAGCTGGTGCACATGATCCAGCGTCAGATGAATGGCCAACCGCGACTGACGCGTCGCCACCTCTGACATCTCGTGCACGGTAGTCGCTAGAGCCTCCACAGAGAACACGCCCTCTGGCAAGTCAGCGGGTGTGACCCTCAGACTATCGAGCGCCAGTCGCAGCTGGGCCAGTCCAGTCGTCAAAACGCTCAGGTAGGGTGGCTGAAAACGCAGCGCCTCTCCGACTCGCCGTCGGCTGCGGCTAAACGCATGAGCGCGCGCTGACGAGAGCCAAGCGCCAAATGCCTTGCGCAGACGAAGGGTGCGGAAAAAGTTGAGGTTCACCAGGCGGGAGTACACGCCTGCCTCGCGCACCCACTCCCAGGCATTGAGCTTCTCACTGATGCCGTCTGCTCGCACGTGAAGAAATCCTCCCGGGTAGAGCATCCAGTGTTCCGATGTGACTCGGCAGAGCGAACGATTAGACGTTACCTGAATGCTGTATGGGTTGCTTGGGTGTTCTGTGCCTGGTATGAAAAATACAGCATCTCGCACACGCGCAGAGCAGTGCAAAAGACTGGATAAAGCTTGTACACCATCCATCTTATCTGAATATATCAGCTATAGCTACGCAATCTTAGCCTAAAGGCCGCCGTCCACTGTGCGGAACGCGTGCGGTCCGTACGGAATTTAACACAGAACCCTATGGGCGCATCCGGTCCGTACGGAAATCGTGTGCGCTCCGTCCGGACCGCATCCGAACGGCAATCAGCTGTTGATTTTCCGTCAGCTCTCCGCATGCGTTTCGGATGCGGTTGCTACGGAGACGGAAGAGTGATGTTCGACGCGTTGAACTTTTCCGCATCCGGAACGTCCGGAACAGACGTGGTTTGGGGCCGTATCGGAGGCAAACATTGTGAATTGTACGAAGAATTGGAACTCGATAATCATGAAGTAAGTAAAAATTATTTCCTTAGAATGGCAAGAGTATTCGCTGCTGGTTACTTGCAATATTTTATTTGGTAATAAGTGATAGGAAACATTTATTAGCTCTCCGCATCCGGACCGCATCCGGACCGGATGCGGCGAGCGTGCGGCGACATTCCGGACGGACTCCGGACGGAATTCCGTCGCAGTGGACGGCGGCCTTAAGACTTCATTTAAATCGTATAACACGATCTTCAGTAACGGTCTATCAAATATCTAAATATAAATAGGCACACCATAGCTTAAATTTAAACTCGGAAGCTAATTAAAAAACCAAGTCGTCAGCTGCAATGAGACACCACCAAACATTTGCTTGGTGACCAGAAACTTTGGTGTAAACTTGTTCAAGAGGTCCAAGAGCTGCGCATCCTTTCTTCTGTCGTGGGATATGGGATCAAGAGGTCAACCTAGTGTTGATTTCAACACATGTTTCACGTGCTTTTATCAGTGCAACTCCCATCGTTTTATTGTTCCACTTCCTATTGTTCCAAACGTGTTGCGAAATTCTTATTTGCCTTCTTGCATAGGTAGGTACCTTGATTGTGGAATCACATAAAACTGGGTGATCAGTCTCGTACAGTTTCTTACCGCCCATATTGCTGCAACTCTCCCGAACCCATCGATCGCCACCTCGAGCATCCAGGGTATGACTTCAGCACCATCATATCCAATATTTCTTGGACTTGAGCCAGTGTGTTAGGCTCATAAGCACTATAGCATACCTTATTATGTAGCTATTCCAAGTTTGCACGTTCGCTGTGCGCATGTGTGTAAACCTAATGTCAACTGGCATCAGGTATAACGAAATAGATTGTATCGCAGACAATGCGCTTATGTATAGTCGACTACAGAATGATGTTCCACTTTTTACAGGCAATTACTTGCCTGTAGTGGTAGGCTGTGCCGCATCACACGGGCTGAGTTCACAAATTATCCCGGCAGTTGCTGGGGTATTTCGCCACCCACCGTTTGCTGGGGGGGGGGGGCGTTAAACGCCCCCAGCCGATAACTCGAGAACCAATAGGTGCAGCGAAACGCACGAGGCGGCAAACGAAAGAGCGCGACGAGACGCTTCAGATGAGTAATTTAAAGTTGAATTTTGAGGTCAAAGGTCGGGTCAAGGTCAGGTCAAACACCTGAAATCGGGCTTTCAGTAGCATGGACTTCAGGACTTCGCAATGGGCGCCTCTCGCCATAAACTCTGTCACAACGGTGCACAATCCATCTTATAAGGCCTTCAAGAGTGTCAGCTCCATATAGGGGTCAGTCAAGCATAGGTCAGGGTCAAGGTCAGGTCAACCGGGTAGGCACATATCCCCGAAAATCAAAACTGATATTCGCAGCCTGTGACACATGTTTTATAGGTAATCTGGGGCGTAGAACACGATGGTGACATTCATTTTATCATATGTGTACGTGTTTGGCTCAAAAAGTTCAATTTAAGAAATTCATGTACCATGGTCGTGAAGTAGTCACGAAAAATTGCCAAGATTCAGTTCAAGATTTTGGAAAATGCGGAACGATAATCAATAATCGAAGATAGCCATTTGATTGATCATGGTATTGGCAGTCTAATGGCGTTTACGGCATGTCTGTATGTCTATTTTGTGATTTTATATGATTTTTTGAACATATGCCGTTTTTGGTCGAAAACTCAGAAATCATGACGTCACTAAAACCTCGATATCTCATAAATTTTCCGACCGATTTTTTGAAACTTTGTCACAATAAATTTCAATCAATTCCCTAAGGTACCCAAAATTTGGCGCGCCTGCGGCGCGCCGTTTTTATGCTGTGGCCCGGCGAAAAAAGTGGGGGCGTTTAACGCCCCCCCCCCCCCCCAGCAACTCGCGGGTTATAGCTTTGTCCCAATGCTCACAATCGATACGCTTAGTTGCGTGATAAACGGCACAACTTAGCGCTCCGGTCAACTGACAGCTTCTGAGGAGTGGAACATCATTCTGTAGTCGACTGTACTTCTAGCTGGCAGAGTTGCGCTAAAGGAGATGGAACCGCGTGACAACTACCTCCGTTACGTTGTAATTTCGACCGGCCAGCTCACGATAGCAGAGGGCTCCGGCCCCACCGTGTCCCCACCTTTGTCCAGCCGGTCGTCGGTGAGCAGTGCGACGATAAAATCAGCCAATGCTTAGTATGTGGCGGTTAAACACGGACATGCGTCACTCCTACAAAGGAGTTTTCTCACCTCATCATTTAGTGCCAAGCGGTCCCAAATTTGCAGTCAGATCGTGACACACCCACTTAGAGCTCCAGCGCAAAAGACTCATCCCCACTCCCCAGTTAAAAGCGCTAAACTGACACACCCAGCTAGGGTTTTAGCGCTAAAAATGACACCAACCGACCTAACCGGCACCCGTGCTGGCCTGAAGTTACTTCCCCGTTATCAGTTTTTCGCTACTATTTTTTATAATTAGGTTCTTACCTTTTCTATCTATTTTGCCAACTTTGTTGTGTGCGAGTTTTCAGTCGATCCCACATACGGCCACGTTTTCAAGCCGCGACAACGTCCAGCCCTTAACATTCTGCTAGTCGTGGAATATAAAGAATTAAAGAATCGTCCACAGATGTCGGTGTTGTTTGCCGGTCAGGTGACCTGATGATGACGTAAAATGACGTCAAATAGTCTAATGTATGTAAAACATAGTGTAAGCTACATAGTACAAACGGAACATCAACTGCATAAAATTCGTTTATTTTGGTCTTTGAGAATAAGTCATTTTTATCGTTTTCTCGGATAATCTGAACACTACGATATGCGCGAGCAACGATTAACATAAGCCATATAAGCATATCACGTCATTGTGATGCCTCAGCCACGAGCGATTATCAACGTAAAAAAAAAAACATTCATCACGCCTCATTTCTTACACACCGGTGGGTTCATATAGATTTAGATTACGATTTGTAGTTGACAAAACAGGCATGTACGACACATTTAGTCAATATCTGCGCACCTTATTTTTCTAAAAATTACAGAAGCTGGCTACGATTATGAGAAAGTAATTCACATTGGCGCTTGACTTGTATCGAAGCATTGAAAGCTATGCCCTTGCAAACGCAGTACGGCTGCTTATAAATGTATATCAGAACCGGATACTAATCTATGTCAAGCAACAATATCATGACCATCTGCCATGGAATGCATATGCGACAAAGCTAGCTCCGCTTGAATGCCTCAGTATTATATCGTTTGCCACCTCGATGAACGGAGCACGAGGGAAAGCCTCAAAGGGCACGGTTATATGAGTCAATTTCAACACCAATAGGTACCTACTTCCTCTGCGTAAATGCAACATACATCACTGCAATGCTACTTACTCTAAAACAGGGAAAATGCATACATTTACTATCTAGATAGTAGATACTGAAACAAAAGCAGTATAATTGTATGATAATTGCATGCATAAATGTTCATAAGCCCAAACAGTGTCTACTTCTAGCACTTAACGCTACTGCGAGTGATTCAACTGCACCAGCCAAAGCTAAAACCATGCCAAGTGTCATGGCACACTGGCACGTATCACTAAAACCGATATAGGTACGCATAGTCCGACATAACCCTACCAGGTTACAGGGGCGAAGCACATAGCACAAGCAGACTAAGTGGACCGGTCATCCACAAAGTCAATAGCATCACAATGGCCGACTAGGTAGAGCGTCCCTCCGGCACGTCACAAGTTCATATCACTTTTCACGCCACTTTGACAGACTAGTGGGGCGATTCCAAGTGACCCCATCAGGCCACAGGAGTGCGCGCCTACTATACTGAGTTGGTCTCAAGGAGCACAAACATTTGGCACTACAACCGCTATGTTAGCATATCACAATATTCTAGCCCATTTGCTAGTTTATATGGGCTAGATTTGCCACTTTAAATGGGCTAGGCTAGGATATTGTGATATTCGAACTTTAAAGCCTTGCGTATGCTCAAAGTGTCCTTTGTCTCGTAGATCCTGACGATAAAAGGGACTTTCACTGGAAGTTTGAGTATATATCGAAAGCCTTCAGCCACGCCAGAGCCGCGTCGTAGCAGAGCTCAAATTGTTTCTGAAAGCACCACCGGTTCCAGGTCACATGGGCGCAGTAATGTTGAGGGAAATAACGTTGATAAATGCATCATTAATTGCAGTCTCATTGATCTCGCACCTTATTTGGAAATATGTACCAGGCAAAACCGTTATTAAAGTCGATGCGCTTTGACCTCATTTGAGTTGACTTAACACTTAAACTTGAAGCCGTCTGTATGGTAAAAATACCATCAATAAGAAAATACCGAATAACCATTACAAATTTGGTCGGTGCTAGATATTTAGCTAGGTTTCTATTTCCAAACTACCTGTGGTTGATAACAATCATATATTTTACGTATATTTTAAAAGCTAACACTAGTCCAAACACCTACCGAATTTGTGATTTTGAGGTGATGGCTGAGCTCATTGGGCTTTGTGAGCATATTTTGAATAAGCAACATAATAATTCGCAATGTTAGTTGCTACAACTTTCTAAATTCGATAAACAGTACCAAAAATTGTGATGAAAGCTACATCTTGAAAAACTGGCATTCAGCTATTTAGGATCTTGGACGATCAAATTTTTAGCGTCGACTTTTGTTATAGCATTATCGGTAACACGCCAATTGGGTAATATATCGGTAATGTAATTTGCTTCAGGAGATTGTTAGGAAATATCAAATGTAAAAAACAGTTGCCTCCTTCAAAACATGATTATGAATATCTAAGGCAGAGCAGTTTGAGACTATCCTCGCCTGTAAATAAGCATTGCTTGCGTCAGAGAGAAATGGTGACCTTCTTTCAATTTTTCCCTAAATTCTTCTGACCACCCTGCGGCTATCACACATCAGCTATATTCTTGGCCACCATCAGCCGCCCACTAACCAGCGTCCCGATGAACTGCGGCCGGCTCTTGCGCACCGTGGAGACGGCCATTACCACGTCAATCTCCTGCTCCTCCGCCAGCTGGTCCATGACGAACGAGGAGGCGATGAACAGGCCGCAGCCGGTCACACCGCTCCTGACACAAAAACAAGTTCAGTAAAAAAAACACTGTCACACCGATCCTGCCGCTGCCAAATGTGCTCACTGGTCCGCGAGGTCTGCACCACTGCACTGGTCCGCCAGGTCAGCACCACTCTAAAATGAATTCACTATCACACCAATCCTTCCGCGTCAAAACATATTGACTGTGCCGGACTTACAACGAATAATTGCGGCACAATAATACAAAACATCAAGGGACAAATAAAGTCCAGCTCCAACAAAATGACATCCATAAAACTTTCCGAGCAATCATTTCATTGAAAGTATATTTCGAAGCACGATCTCTGCAACATTACACTTCAGCAGACTGGTGATTAACCCGCGCCGGGCCGGGGGGATGTTTGAGCACCCCCCCCCCCCCTGCGGTTTTTCGCAGATCCGCCCCGCCGTTTTTGGCACACCTGTTTGTGCATCTTTTCCGCACATGTTGTGAAAAATTCAGACCCAGGTCACCTTAGGTCAGGTCACCAGGTCACGCCAAGTGACCTCACCTCAGAAAAAATAAGAATGCTCGTCATAGCTACACCGACTGAACGATTGCCTTGAAACTTTCAGCGATTGATTAGAGCAACACTATCTATAAAATTTATATCTCGGAATTTTGATATTGGTGACCTAAGGTCAGGTCAATTTTGCGGCCTCTCCATTATAAGTCAATGGGGGGGCATTCCACGTCAAGTGGGACAAAAAATGACGATTTTGAACCTCACCTCCTCCGATTTTTGCGAAACTTTGTGAACCTACTCATCTATATGTGAAAAGAAAGGAGACATTTTTTTGCCAAGATATGACGTCACGTTTCCGAGATACACATCATCAAACATTGACTTCGGCAAGGCACATTATCATCTTTAAAGCGTCATAACTTTTAAAGTTTTAGACATATCACCACGCGACAAAGTTTGAAATGGAGGGAATAGATCAGGCTTTAATTTGAAGATCACAATATGGACGTCATTAACTAATTAGTGAGCATAATTAACATTCAAAAAATAAATTTTGAATTTCTGAAAAATGGGTACCCTTCGATTTTGCTGATTTTTGCATATTTTATTCTTCCATACATTAGCTACTTCATATGAAAATTTCAGAATGGGCCGACGCCTACGTAACTGTCTTTTGGTCTTCGTAATGTCTGGCACTCGCGCGTTTCGTTTTAGCAACCAAGGAGAGGCGCTACGCGAAGATGGTTCTTTCTACCTTAATCAAACCAAAGCAAACCTAACCTGACCTGACCTAATCTAACACGCGTAAACTTATGTATAGCCCTAACGGCAGTTGCTGGCTGGCCAAATGCTACTTAGATACGAACACTATTAAACAAAAATGAACGCGTGTTAAAACACTTGAGGCTGACCAGCCACGAGCCAGCGACCTATAGATTACGAGGTGGGTTGGGTACACTCGGCACACTAACTACTAAGCCACGAAGATAGCTGGTCATCGCTGAGCTGTAAGCCAGTTTTCTTTTTTAATGATGCAATTGAGCATTCTCCCGGCAGCGCCTCTCTTTGGTTGCAAAAAGGAAATACGCCTGACTCTCCCAGCGCTAGGGGAGAAAGGCCCGGTTTAGTCAAAAACGGGTATTAAAAACGGAATTTGAATTGTAGGTGGGGCGATGGGGAACTTTATCGTGTGCCAATTTCATGGCCCTAGATCAATATCTTCAAGATCAAATGAGGTTAAACGTGATTAAATTTACTATAGTGAATATTTTGCGTTTATACGCCCATAGCGCTAAGAGTTAATGGCCGATTTCCCTATTTCTTCCTTTATACGACATTTGTAGTGTTATGAGAATCTCTAGCTAATGTAACCATAAATTTGGCAGTTATTGGCCTGCTAAGAGTAAGATGTCGCCGGCAGAGGCGAGATCGGCCGACGCGGGAAACGTTTCATTCACAGATTGTGTTTGCGCCCTAATAATTCAATTTTTACCTGTTGATTTTCGCATGTATGTAGGTATTTGACCATTACATTGCCTGTACATTTTTAAGCCTTCACACAAAATTTGACACGAATCGATCATAATCAGCGGTAAGAAGCGCGATGCAAAGATGAACCGTCCCGCGCCGGCACAGTCTACCATTCAGGCATTAACGGCCGGCGCCGGCCGCCGAGCCGCTCCGGCAGGAATGTTTAACTTTACACCGCCATTACTAGAAAAGTTGTGGCCCGATTTACCTATTTCATGCACGGGAGGATTTGCAATTCGATTCTGGACAGATACTGAAAGTTTGACGTTAATATAATAATTATGGCGTGAGTTATTGGCGATAAACAGGTGGGGTTAGCAAACTCGGCCCCTTCCACCGCCCGTGCTACGTTGCACTTCTTGTTGCTATATCATCCAAAGTTATCTTTGGCCCACTCTAATTTTCTCAGCACCTGTGCCTTACGTGTAGTGGAAAACAATATCTAAATTTGAGCAAAATCGAAGGGTACCCATTTTTCACAATTAACATTTTAAGAAATTAATTCAAAATAAAATAAATTCAAAATAATCAAAAAAATGTAAAAATTGTCAAATTTTACTAGAATAACTCCTTATGTACACGTTTCAGTTTGTTTGAAATTAATAGCTTCAAAAATGTTGAAGCTATAGATCTTTCAAGATTGCAGTACACGTCCAATTCTGCTAAAAAAGCAGAAGTTTAGCAGCTTGTATCTCTGTAGCCCGAGGGCATATGACAAAATCCTTTCACCCTCAGAGGTTTCACCCAATAGGCAATAAGTATACCAAGTTTGAACAAAATCGCAGAGGTGACCGATTTTGGCTGTCCCGGTTGACATGGAATGCCCCTGGGAGAAAATTGAAAAGCGTCTGTTCTGCACGAACGCTATTCTAGACACTCTCAAGTATCGAGATATAGGTAAAAGTGACACACTGAACCAGAAAATGGCAGCTGTGACCTCCTCGTTATGTCCCCGAGGTCATCTCAGGTCACGAACAGAATCTAACAGTTTTTCGCTAATAACTTCTGATAGAGGCGTGCTAGAGCGCCGAAAACGCCTTAGATGTGTTCGGCTCGACGTTGCGGATCGACTGATATGCAACATGGCCATTTCCGGTCAGGTCATGACCTTGACCTGAGGTCAAATTTTCAAGTTGACCTTTCAAGGTCAAATTATAGTTCATTCGACGCGTCTCGACGAGAGGAACACGATGCTGGCAAACGTAATGTCATGGCTCTTATGAGTCAAAAGTTATTGCCGAAAAAACGCTTTTCGTAAAAACGGTTATTTTGGGAGTTTTTGCCCTCTGGAGGCTAAACCGTTGATCTGAGGTCAAATCTGAGAACATTTCCAGAAAGGTCTGTAAAAGGGCTATCGAATGCGCTTTTCCGCGGCGCTGTAGCTCTATCGGTTCCCGAGATAGCCGTTGGCAGTTTCCAAAATGTTGAAATAGTCAACATTTTACCTTTGGTGACCTCTGGTGACCTGACCTTTGACCTGACCCAAAAAATGACTGAAGTGTTTTCGTCCTTATTTTGGACGTTCTTTCGATTGCCGCTTACCGCGTGTCGCTACGTGGCCCAGGAGCCGAGTTAGAAGAAGGGGTGTTCAGACACCCCCCCCCCCGGCCCGGCGCGGAATCTCAGAGCACCGGCCCGGCGCGGGTTAATATTCTGGCGCAGTACCTCTGCGAGTGCCCATATTCATGGTGTTCTCGACTGCGTCCGTGGGTCATTCATATACCCCTAAAATCATATATGCCTCATATACCTATGCCGCAGCAGAAACTATAGGTTGCAGGTAAGGTTACGTCTTTTTAGACTATGTTTTGTTTTAAATATATTAGCTGTGGAAAGACGTTTGTGACGATCGTGACATGTGAAACTTCACAGCATAGTTGATATACGTATCATTGCGTCCGTACGTACCTACAGACCACGGTGGTGACGCCTCCGTAGCTGTGTGGCAGAGACCGCTCGTAGGCGGAGTGCAGGACCACCAGCTGTTCAGCCGAGGGCAGACTGCCGGCCGGATCACCGAACGGCAGAAGGAACAGACGCACCTCCTGGGAGGTCTCCATCTGTGGCCACAGTCACAGACCACAGTATCGCAGAGTCACAGTCGGAAACTGTCACAACTCACAATCACAGTCACGTGGGTCAATCTGAGTGAGTTACAGGACCACAGTCACAGAACTGCCTGTCAGTCGTAGCCTGTCACAGGTTTAGGTATGGCGAGTGACCCGACAGCCATGCCTGGAGGCTAAGGCGTTACCTGACTACCGGCAGGGGACAGACTTTAATCAAGTCTGGCACCTACCTTTCCGTTGACATAGACGTTCAGGGTGAGGTCGAGCGTCTCCACTGGCTCGACGACCCGGCTCCTCAGCTGAATCACAACGGTACCGAACGTGATAGGCTCCTCCGTGGTCGGCCAAAATACCTGACAACCCCGACCAGCGCCGTGAATTTCTGCACATGATTGTGGCAAGGCGAAATGAAAACGTACGGGTCTCGCGGGTTTTAGCGGTAGGGTTTCCCCAATGAAATGGGTGAAACTCGACATGTCGACAGTAATGCATGGCTTCTTGTAGCCACTCACGTCATCAGGCTCCAAGTCGTTCATAACCACCACCGTCTGCGACTGCTTCTCCACCACCATGTTCCAGAAGACGTGGCGTCGCTTCGGCAGAGGCGCCTCCGTGGCAATGAACGCGTCCGGCTTCTTGAAGCCCTGCACAAAGACAGCGTTGACGTAGTTGTCGCGCAGACCGCAGCTATGGAGGAAGACGCGACTCTTGTCCTCTGCCGGCAGCATTTGGGGCTCAGTCAGAGGATGGTATTATCTTTTTTTGGAGGGGGGAGCCAGAGTATGAAACCATAAGTACAGAGTGTTTGTTCGACGATGCACTTGACAAGCTACTTGAAATATGCAATCGTACTTTTGGAAAGCGGCGAATTGTAACGGGTTCGCTGTGATCACGTGTCGCTTTCTTACCGAACGGATGACAGACCGCTCACCTGGCAGAATTTCCGGCGAGCGGTTCTTGCCCTCGAGGTTCTCGGCGCGCGCACTGGCGTACGAGGCCGGCGGCGGGTTGGATGCCAGGAAGCTGAGCTGCTGCTCCAGCTGAGACGGACCGTCTGCCACCGATTTGAGCTGCGGCAGCCGGACGGCCAGCTGGGCGGCCGGCACCGCTGCCGACGGCGACACGAGCAGCTCGACGAGGACCTGGTGCACCAGCTGGTACTGGGCCAGGCTGGCGCACAGGTTGGCCCGCTGCTGGCGCACCACCGTCAGCTGCCGGTACACGTCCACCGCCTGCTCGCAGCGGCCCATCTTGTGCAGAGCGTCGATCAGAATCACTGTCCCAGTTCGCCCCACGCCAGCGCTATACCAAAAAAAAAAAAAAAAAAACGCGGCCCGTGCGTCAGACAGGTGCCGTCGCCAGGCAGAACGATACAGGCCAGTTGACGTGCATTCACTCATGGTGAGCACGATCATTACGCGACAGCATAGTTTTCTAGAGGCAACATCAGCCAAAAATACTTACTTATAAAATTAATAATAATTAATAATGATCAATATTATATACTAATTAATGATAAATTAGATAATAATAGTGTGTACCAAAATGCTTGCCACCGTAATTAAAAACGACCTCTATTTATCTCAGAGGGCGACAGCCCCGCCGCACCTGCAGTGGACGACCGTGGGTCCTTCTCCATCGGGAACGGCATCCAGCTCGCGGATGAAGCGGGCCAGCGAGGACGGATAGAGGGGCACGCTGTGGTCCGGCCAGGCGGTGTAGTGCAGCTGAGTCACCTGAGACGGGCCCCGGACTGTCAGTCACACACAGCGGGATACCTACGTCAAGGCTCCGCTAGCCACAAAACGGGCTACCGCAAAAACACAACGGGTTGAAACTGGACTGAAACACTGTTCGGATCTGCTTAAGTGATCTTTCATTGCAATCATGTTAGAGAGGCGCTGTTCATATCAGCTCGGTGACAAGGTTGCACTGGCAGCTTTGAGCAGTATATGTGAGTCAGGACTGCAGAGACAAGGATTTGCAGTGCTCACGACCACCAGCCCTACCCACCAGCTCTCATCAGCCACCACTGCTGGCCTGTCTCACCGTTCTCCGCTCCCGCCCTCGGACCATGACGAACGTCCGCACGGTGTAGTCGTTGGACATGCGACTGCTCTCCTTCTCCACCTTCAGGTTCAGAAGCAAAAGCGGCCTGTCCTCCGGCCAGTAGAGGTCGCATTTCTTCTTGTCTCCCTCCACAAGGTTGGTGAGCATTACCACTCTGGCCACCTTCTTTTCCCAGAGCATCCGCCAGAAATCGAAAATGGTCTCCGGCTTGGGTCCCTGCGTGGCAATGTACGCTCCTGGCCGTTCGTAGCCCTGCAGAGAGGAGAACACGTGTTCTGCCTTAGAAAATAGAGATGTCAATCGGATACCAACTTTTTGGTATACCGATACCAAACCGATACCAACTTGGTATTTGGTATTTCAATCGTAATGTGTTTGGTATTTTGCTGGTATCATTAGCCCTCACTAATGTATAAGAGGTTAAGAAATCGGTAAAAAGTTGGTATTTCCCTCAGTTTCCCAAGTTGGTTTGGTTTCGGTATTTTCCGTGGTTTTGGTTGGTATTTGGTTTGGTATCGGTATTCCGATTTTCCGTAACTGACATCACTATTAGAAAATGACCCTTACAAGAGTGATTTAGACGCATTATTATAGGTGCATGAGCATGCGTAGCAAACGTGCAAACATGAACACAAACATGGTGTTATACTCGTAACATGTTTCTCTGGCAAGACAGTACCCCACGGAGCCGTAAAATTGCTGGTCTTCACCCCCCACCGACTATATTGTACATACATGTTACGGCAATAAACATAAGGAAATGAAACAAGAGTCGGATGAAAGCCTGAAGCTAACGTCGAAAAAAAAAAACTTGACAATTGCATACGCTTACGTCGACATAATTAGCGTTGATGTAATCCGAGCACTCATCCATTTCCAGTTTTTCCAGTTTCACTCGGCTGTTGTCGTCTGCCAAAGAACAAAGCTAATAAATGTAAGATACAACCGGAATAGGTACTCGACTTAGTTGTTTATGAGCCTTGCCCAATGCCCACCTCTATCATATCACCGCGCGTCGCATTCTGCAGCACCATCATCAAAGTCCGTTTCCGAAGCCGGCTTGTCGGCCGGCTGCTCATTAGCGATAGGAAATCGATGACTAATTTACAAAAAAAAGTCATTAAATTTGCACAAGTCGTAGGCATTGGTTAAAATCCGGCATTTTAAAATTGTAGGCATTACGTGGAATGCCGCAAAATACTAAAAATATTGTAGAAATACGCGCTGATAGCGAATGCCTGAAAATTTTAGGCATTCATGAAATGCCAGGTGGAGTCTGATAGTCGCTGAAATATGGTTGTAATTAACTGAGTACACTCGTTGCCTAGGCTATACCTGAAATGCCCAAGTGATGACTAGGAGTTTTTGTAACTGCAGATATACTAGTTTCCACACCTTTTTCGTATTCAAAGGTCTCTGGTTCGGCACAAAACGAACATCACCTAACTAAATGAAGCTAACCAAGCCCCTTGGTTTGGTTAGGTGTGAGAAGTATGTACCTACTTTAACACAAAACACGTTATGCATATTTAACATGGTAGGTATGTAGGTGAAATCAGGCTTTCGGTCATGGGCTGGGTTAGAATGGGTAAGATCATGTTTGGGTTAGAAATGAATTTGGAAGACGGGATTTGAGGCCGTCATCTCGCCACCGAGTTCAATATCTGGTATCGCACACCATCAGCCCGTTCCAGCAGTGAAATGTGGATACCAAAAAGGCGCGCGAGAACTCGCACCTCTGCGGTAATTGCCACAAAAAAGTGCGGGCAGTGGCTTGGACATTTATGTAATGACTAGGCAGCGAGTGTACTCAATTTCGACCATATTTCAGCAACTGCCTGGTCTCAGCCTGTTTTTTTTATACGAAGATTTCAGTTTTTGCCTGCAACTCACGTAGGTAATGCCTTTTACATGAAATGCTGAATTTCAGCTGATGCCCTGAGGTAGGGGAGAGTGGTGCAGGAGGCCCCCCCTTAAGCTCAGTTGCTATTTTTAGACAACTGATAATATTTAAGAGCTAACGTGTGCATGCGCTGTGAGCATGCATCATTTTCCCATACATATTTGCATTCAAAATGAATCTAGGGGGTACACAAACCGTAAACTTTAACATTTTGGAAAAAGTTGCAAAAGGGCCTCTTACACTATGGGTATGGTAAGACGCCCCCCCCCCCCCTCGGGCGTTTAACAAGGCAAGTCGACTTGTAAAAGACGTTTTGCGAACACAGCTGCAAGGCCTTTTATTTCGAAAAGCTAAGCAAATACGGTGTTATCGAAACCAATAACACTTCCAAAGCGCTCGAACAATGCGAAAACTAGCACAACCAAACGCTGATGACCAACGAAAATTGTACCTATTACCTCTAGAAAAAGAAACAGAAAAAAAAGAAACAAAAACAAACTCCTTGAAAAAAGAATGCCACGCCTGCCGCAGGTGCAGGCGTATTAGCATCGGGGGCGTTTTTTATCGGGGGGCGTTTTATAATCCTCGAAGGGAGGGCCTCTTAAAAAAATGCAGTGTTTTAACGTCACAATATTTATGGTTTATGAGACATTTGCAGCGCACCAGAACATGGTCTATTCTGAAGCTAACATGTGACAATTTCGATGAGATAAGATTGCATTTGATAGCCATTGTTTTTTCAGATATATAAGGGTGATAAAGATGCATATATCTAGCAAGTAAAGGGGCAAAAACAGAAACAGGCTTACCAAAAGTCGCTGCGACGCACCTGATACCTCAGGTTTCGTGAGTTGTTGTTTCAAGAGGGCTTCTGCTTTACAAGAACATCAAAAAATAAATAACATTATTGGTTTGGTAAAAAAAGCGATGGGGCCTCTTACCGACCCTGGGCGTCTTACACGGATCTCCCCTAATCATGCCAAAATTCACTTTAACTCATGATTCGCCTTTTCCGTTTTTAATGAGCGACCATGGTGACTCTCAGGCCCACTCACACGGCATGAGGTTGCCGTATCTGTTCTTGGCCCGGTTCTGCGGCTTGCGGCCGTAGAGGCAGGGCTGTGTCAGACCCAGCGGCAGGCTAGAGAACTGCGACTGTAGCAGGTCCGTGTTCCGAGCGACCGCCACCAGCTCCGACAAGCGAACCCGCGACTTGTTCAGGAACAGCGACTGCGGTGGTGGAAACAAGCACCGCAGAATCAGCGAGGGTTTTACCGGCAAAACCAGTATTTTAAACATCACAAAGCATTAAAATGATAGGTATATACCCTACCTTTAGGTAGTACAAGTTGAGTCGCTGATAGAAGAACGTAAATATTGCACTCTCCCTCCCTCTCTCTCTCTCTCTCTCTCTCTCTCTCTCTCTCTCTCTCTCTCTCTCTCTCTCTCTCTCTCTCTCTCTCTCGCTCTATCTGTCTCTCTCTCTCTCTCTCTCTCTCTCTCTCTCTCTCTCCCTCTCTCTCTCTCTCTCTATCACTCCCTCTCTCTCTCTCCCTTTCTCTCTCTGTCTCTTTCTCTAATTAGAAATGTAAAGTCCAGACACACCGTGAGGTTTTCGTAGGTGCTTTCCTCCTCTGCACTCCCTTCAGCCGGATTGGTGTACAGCTCTTCCATTGGCACTTGTGCTGGGGTGGCTGTGGACATAATATCATCAGCATTATAAATTATAATTATAGTATCAGGATCGTTCCAATCATATCAGCGGGCGTCACATGATAATTGTTTTTGTTTTGCGGTCATCAACCATCTCCCTAATTATAGCAGCATGTTTGAGCGCTTTGAGTTTCCTTTGCTAGTCGCCAGAACAGAGTTGGCACCCTAGACCCGCGCATGACTGGGAGGCTCTACATACAGAGTCTTCCAGTTGTTTGCGATATATTCAGAACTGCCATACGTATCGACACACTTTTAGTTCCCTCGGCTTCATCAGTTTGACGTCTTCTGTCAAAAAGGAATAATATGTAGCATTCCATATATCGGCCGAAAATGACTCTGGAGTGACGTCATGTTCGGCCGATTTTCAGATGCAAAATATGGGCTTAACCCTCGCCGGCCGAGGGAGGGCGGCGGGTGCCGCCCCCCATAGGTTTTTTTTTCGCGATAGCTCCAGACACGCTGCCGATAGAGAGCTGAAACTTAGCATACCTGACCTTTGATCCAAGCCGCATCTTTTGACACCAACCGCATTTTTGGGTCAGGTCAGGTCACTGACCTATGACGTCATAAGTGAACCTCTGCACGGTCTTCAGATGTCGCAACTTCGCAACGCCCTCACTGCCAGAGGAGATGTCACAGGGAAATGAAACTTGCAGGATCTAGTATCCATTATGAGTCTCACAACTTGTACCTATATCTCGGATTTTTCCTAAAGGTCATATGAGGTCAGGTCATTTTCGTGACCTCACCATTATAAGTCAATGGGGAAAAATGAAAACTGCTATTCTGGCGCCGGGAACGATCTCCAACTATCTCAAGAACACAGAATCGTGATTTGATGCACTCCTTGCAAGGTTAGATGCGTCACTTTTGCAATGTTGACCTTCCGTGACGCCATTTATGACGTCATTAGGGCCATATTAGTTTTTCGTCAATAACTCCCGATCAAATTGAGCTAGCGAGTCGAGAAAGCCACCAATGGACTCAGGAAGACCTGCCGAATCGAATGATATGCGACATGACCTATTTCGACCAACTTCGTGACCTGGGGGTGCTGACCTGACCTTGACCTGAGGTCAACACCCCAAGTTGAACTGACCCGAACAAAAAGTATATCATTCGACGCGCCTGAGCGAGGCGAATACGATGCTGCCAAAATCGCGGCTCTGCGGCCGTTTTTTGCGAAGGACCTTAAAATCGGGTACTACATAATCTCTGCGTCTCGTAACGGCGCACACGCTCGTTTTTCCGCGACGCGCTAGCTCCACCAGGGGCGAAACGGCGAGGGGGGATCGTACCCGCCCCCCCCCCCCCCTCGGCCGGCGCGTATGTAGAAAACCAATAGGTCCGGCGAGGGTTAAGGCAATCGCTCTCAAGAGTAGGATATTTTGGTAATAACCAATTTCTTTGCATGAGATGAAGTGCAAAAAAAAGATAGGTCCTACACTCGAACTACTGTACTGTAACTGTAAAACTAAGGTAAAAAAATAAATAAAAGTTGCATTTTGGAATTTTAACCCTCGCCGGCGGAGGGGGGGGGGGGCGGGTGCCGTCAAGATTACTTCACTTATAGGTGCCGTTCCCCACATAGTTTTTTTCGCAATAGCTCCAAACGCGCTGGAGATGGAGAGCTGAAACTTGGTATACCTGACCTTTAATTCAAGCCGGATCTTATGACACCCACCGCATTTTTAGGGCAGGTCTGGGTAAGTTGACCTTACCCAAATAAAAAGTATATCATTCGACGCACCTGAGCCAGGCGAACACAATGCTGCCAAAATCGCAGCTCTGCGACCGTCTTTTTTTTGCGAAGTTATTCACCAAAAACGGAACCGTACCTTGGGGCACTTGACCTGACCTCAGAGGTCACCGGTTGACCTAGGACCTTAAAATCGGGTATCAATCTCTGCGTCTCGTAACGGCGCACACGCTCGTTTTTTTCCGCGACGCGCTAGCTCCACCAGGGGCGAAACGGCGGGGGGGGGTCGTACCCGCCCTCTTCCCTCTCGGCCGGCGCGTATGTAGAAAAGCAATAGGTCCGGCGAAGGTTAAGTCAGCGAATAAGAAAAATAAATGAAAAGTAAGGACGCAAAAGGAAAAAATACACAAACAGCGAAGATCCAGCATTATGCAGGACGCATTTACAATCTTACAAGCACACTTACCAGGACTTCCGTCCGCCTGAATGTTAGGGGTGGCGGCCTTTTGGGCCAGTATGCGCCTTCTGAAAAAAATGACAGCTGGTATCATATCCCAAGAAGTGGCTAAATACATATCTATACCTCACAGTATTTTGCTTATGCATGACGGATAATTACCGTTAGTTGTCGGATAGTAGCAAAACACTACGAAAAAACGTGTACAGTAAACCAGATAAACCAGAACAGTCGCTGTCGCTGCTAGTTTACCTGAATGCCAAAGCCCCGATCACGATGAGCAGAATCAGCATGATACCGAACAGACTGCCCAGTATAGTACCGGTTGCTGAAAAGGAACACATAATTCCACGAGTAAATGTGACACAAATAAAACTGTTATATCCCTCGCCCCGTTGGGGGGGCCAATTTGGCCCCCCCTGTGGTTTTTCCTGAGTAGCAAGAAAACGGCGGCGCGCAGCGCCGCCAAATTTTCAGTACCTTCCTGGGCATCAATTTGACATCTTCACACCAAATTTCAAGTCTTAGGTCACCTTAGGTCAGGAGTTATTGAGGTCAAACTAAGGTCATGCTCGAGCAAAAATGAGCAAAAAACATGCAATCTTGAAACGCTCACCAAATCTACAGTTATCAAGCAATTTCAAAGTTCTTTATATGGTCTAGTAGGCAAAAAGCGGCGCTACAAAACTGCTATCTCGGATTTTCAAAATTTTTGGTTTTTGACCCAAAAAAAATTCAAAAAATTGATTTTTTTAGAAAAACTAAAAAAAATCCAAATTTTTTCCCGAATTTCGAAAAAAACCGGAATATATGTGATAGTCCCAGCGCTCTTCTATATACATACCAAATTTCAGATCGATATCTCGTTTTTTGGCCAAGTTATAGAGAAAAAACTGTTCAAAAATGTTGACGTCAAATTTTTGAACTCAATTTTTAGCGATTCCAGACCACGTACGGCAAAACAAAGACCACCATTGAACTCCCCGTGACGAGCTGCATCGATTTGATACCCATTTTATGCAAAAATATTAACTTTGAAATTTGACCTAATTTGACCTGACCTTGACCTGACCTTGACCTGACCTTGACCTGACCTTGACCTGACCTTGACCAAAACGTGATCTAAGCTGGCCCCAACGGCTGCCTGACCCACATAATCGCATTTGTCATGTAAAATGGACCATAAAACATGTATCACACGACACTTTCATATTGTGACCCCCCCGTGACCTGACCTCTGTGACCTGACCTGGTATCAGTGACCTCAAATAGCAAAATATGTGTTTGAAGAACATTTCCCCATCGATGATTTTCAATGAAATGCATTTTACTCGATTTTACAACGCATTTCTTGAAATGCCTGTAAACGATGAAAATTGGACCTTTGACCTTACCTGTGACGTCATCGGTTTGACCTAGGTCAATAAAATTGGGTCACAAGGTAGTTCCCCGTTGGGGCTATCCAACGCCGTTTACCGCTTGTCGCTATGCTGCGTGGTTCTCGAGATCTTAGGGGGGGGGGGCAAAATGCCCCCCCCAACCGGGCGCGTTGCTCGGCAGAGCCCAACGGGGCGCGGGATATGAAGGCAAGGAATTGCATGAAGATAGCTTGAAATCAAAGCAAATAACTCATCAGCTTTCAGAGGCTACATCAAGATTACTTTACTACTCATAGCTTCTACTACATAGCTACGGGCTATAGCTTCTAAATAACGGAACTGGAGGCACTTCGTGCATATTATTACCATTTGGAGCTCGGACGGTGATAGGCTCGTCCACGGCTCTAAAACTAAGTCCCATGTTGTCATCTGACAGCCTGGATAGCGCCGCCATGCCGATCCGGTAGGTATGGTCGGTCTTCAGAGGTTGGTTGTAATAGGACTTCTCAGAAGTGTTGTAGTACTTTCCATCGCCAATAACGAACGTCCCGTTTGTATCCACGTGCTCCTAAAGAAATCGTGATCATGTGTAGATCAGCATAAAAGACACAGAAGACAAAAAGACACGAAAGACAAAGTTGCAACATTCCAGCAAATCATCTTTTTCAACAATGATTAGGCCAATAAATTGGCGTGATGATCACAGGTCCATCTTTAACCTGCACACAGTCTGCACGTCAAACGGTAATTTTTTCTGCCATCAAGATAATTGCTTTCTATAATGCCGATATGCTATTTCATCCTAATCAACCAAGACATTTACGGCCACGGGTACGAGTGGGTATCCTACTGTAACAGTCTATCAGTCGTCCGCTGTCCGTTCCCACTTCCGGCACCTACCGGATCGGCCACAGCTGCCACGTAGAAGCTGATGCCCCTGCGACTGGCCTCCTCGGCGTTGGGCAGGTCGTTGGCAGGGTACGCCTCCACCGCTGCGCCGTCCAGATCCAGGTTTTCCGAGACGATGACGTAGTAGCGCGAGACGGGCGGCCCGCCGGCGCCGGCGGCCGACGGCAGCCGCAGCTGCACCGTGCTGTCCGTCACCAGGTCGTGCTGCACCTCGGGCGAGGCCGGCAGCTGCGGCGGCGGCACGCGCGTCTCCAGCCAGGCGGCGGTGCTGTTGCCCTGTCCGACGGCCGTACTGGCGGCCACCCGGACCAGGTAGCGGTGACCCGCCTCCAGGCCCTCCACCAGCAGGCTGTGGTGGCGTGCTGCCGGGTCGCAGGCGGCTTAGAGGTTTACCACGAGAATCTGGATTGTACGTGATGAGTACATGAGACACGTTTGCACTACGTAGGGTGACCTGAGCTGATGAATTTGTGGCCTCATTCCATGTTCCTGCAGATGTTCGCGTGTTGAAAGTAAAAGGTATCTACGCATCAGCTGTACATAGTGCTTTCAGATTTTACTTGCACTACCTGGTCCTGGCGATCCTCTTTTGTGCTCTGCGTTACAATTGCGGCCGGTACTCACCTTGTTCGTCGTCGCGGCCGATCTTGATCACGTGGCTCTGGAGGGGAGGGCCGTCCTCTGACTCCGAGACGTTCACCTGATAGCGCAGGATGCGTCCGTTCCTCTGGACGGGCGTAGTCCAGCGAACGTGGAGCTCGGTCAGCTGCAGACCCTGCTGTCTCACGTCGCCCGGCGGCCCGGGCCCTGGCGGTCACGGCAGAGAGGCGCAGTCGCACACCGATCGGTCCGACCACTTGGCTCAGGCGACTCTCTACACACCGGCCGAGGAACAGTAGGACAACGTTGGAGAAACTCAATCAGCGCTAAGTAAATAAAGCCATATTATCATATCATCTGTTACTTATCTATCATCTACATAGTCATATTATCTGTTAATCCTCAACATTATGATTTATCAACTAGTATCACCTTTTCAGTTTTCAGCCCACCTATGTTTAGGTAGTGACACCTACGTTCATACCTGTTCCCTACCAGTAATCCGTCCAGCATGTGCAACACATTAACCCGCGCCCCACTGGGGGGGGGGGCTATTTATAGCCCCTCCCTCCCGTTTTTCTGCAATAACTTCCAAACCGCTTGACGTATCAACGCCAAACTTTCAGTACCTTCGGCTTCATCAATTTGACACCTTGTGTCAAATTTGAACATCGTAGCTACCATAGGTCGGCCGGAAATGACGTCAGAGTGACGTCATGTTCGGCCGATTTCAACACAAAACATTGAACCACGGCAATCGCTCCCAAGGGCTCCGTTTTTAACCCTATTCCTGGCGGGCTCCGCCGGGACAAGAAACTGGCGGGGGGGCCGATTTGGCCCCCCCCCCTGAGATCTCGAGAACGAAGCAAGATAGCGACAAACGGTAAACGGCATCGGATACGCACGGTCAAGATCTACAATTTTTACAAAGGTCATTTTCAGGTCAGGTCAAAGATGACCTCACAGGGGTCGAAAAAGTCAAAATGGCGGCGCTAGATATGGAGAGAGTTTTTCTCGAATAACTTTCGACTTAGTCAAGATAGGAACAAACTAAGGGCATCATCGTGATCCTCTCGTCAATCCGCATCGATTGATATATATGTTGACCTCGCAAGGTCAAGGTCAAAGGTTGACCTCAGGTCACGTGACCTCGAGGTCATCATGTATATCATTCGATGCGTCTTGACGAGCTGAACACAATGAGACCATCCACGCGTCTGTATCTTGTTCCTGTACGGAGTTATTGGCCAAAAACCTTTGGTGACCTTTGATGACGTCACATGACCTCACAGCTGCCCAACAGCAAAACAGACCTCAAGGTAGTGAAGGTTGATCGTATATGAAGTCATGTATGGTATATGGGGCCATTCCGACCCGTTTTAGTGGTAAAAACAGGGAGTTGATTTTTCCCCCATTGACTTATAATGGGGAGGTCGCGAAACTGACCTGACCTTAGGTCACCGATATCAAAATTCCGAGATAAACAAATTCCACATACTGGTACCCTAACTAAAGCCTGACCCTGAAGAGAAGAAATTGATCGGTCAAAAACTCTAGCTCTGGCGTGATTGCAAACTTTTCTGAGGTAGGGTCACCAAACCGCCTCTGGTGACCTGACCTGAGGTCAGATCAACTCAAAATTTTCAGACATGTTGCGTAGAAGCCTTTTAGGAAAAGTCAGAAAATTTGAGCTTCCTAGCTCAACGTGTTTGGGAGAAATAACCAAAAAACCTCAGGGGGGGGGGGCTCCTGAGGCCCCCCCGCCAGGAATAGGGTTAAGCTAGATCCAATTTCTTTGCATGAGAGGACTCAAAATAGACTGCGCTATCAAACTGCTATCTCGGATTTTCGAAATTTTGAAAATTTCGAAAATTTATAAAATAAAATTCAAAATTTTTATTTTTACAATTTTTTCAAAAAGTTTTTGACTTAAAAAAAAAACGGAATATATGTGATAGAAATTGTTATTATGACTAGCTCTAGCAAGTTTTAGCTAAATATCTTCAAAAATGGCCAAGTTATACGCATTATTGCAAAAAATTCACAATTATTAATTTTTCAAATCAATTTTTCACCACGTATTTGACATCGTACGCCAATATAAATAGCACCATGGTGTTCCTGAGCTCAAACTGCATCCAATAGACACCTTTTTTGTTGAAAAATTATAACTTCAAAATTTGACCTTTTTTGACCTGAAAGTGACCTGACCTAAGCTAAATTCGACTCAAAATGACCTCGAATGACACAGACGACATCAAATTCGAAATCTTTGGCCTAAGTGGGCCATAAAACATGCGTCACGTGACCGACGCATGATATAATATTTTCGTGAACTGTGATGACCTGACCTTGACCTGAAAATCAAAGTACAAGTTTGGTACCCTCAGGGTATCTAGAGCATCTGTTCACGAGTGTGTGAACCAAAAATGAGCCTGATCTGACATGTAAGACGGCGGCCAGAGCCCAAAACGTGAACAGGCCAAAATGCTAATAATTTTTACTTTGACCTGACCTGTGACGTCATCGGTGACCTTGAGGTCAATGAAATTAGGTTTCGCTCGACAGTTTTTTCCGGGGCTATCAGACGCCGTTTGAATTTTGACGATCGGCCCAGTAGTTTCGGAGTTAGGAGGGGGGCTATGAATAGCCCCCCCCCCCCAGTAGGGCGTGTTATACGCAGACCCCAGTGGGGCGCGGGTTAATGTCAATAAAAAAATATGCCCGGTTACGCTCGTATATGACAAGATATAGCTTTTTTGCGACACTACGAGCTTCATCCGAAGGCGGCCCTGAAGCCGGGCCCTGGGCGAGCAGTGCAGCGGTTGGCGCCTGGCGGCAGCTCCTGCGCCCCAGGCCCAGGCGCAAGGGCCGCTGAGCGGCGGCGTGGTGGCCTCTGATTGGTGGAACGGCTCGTGTCGTGCGGATGGTGGCGGCGCAGGGTTCGAATGCGATCGGCGATCGCCCCGTCACTTCCTAATCCCTATACCCTAAGTTTTTTTATTTGTCGAGGTCAACATCCTATCTCCGAATTAAAGCAGTTCTCGATGTTGTGAGTGCCCAAACCGGTAAGTACAAGCCAGGGGCCTAGATTTGGCAAACCCAACTCAAAACTAATGTTAACCCTCGCTCTACAGGGGGAGGGGGTCGAACGGATCCCCCCTCGGTTTTTCGCGAATAACTCGCGTAAAAAGCGGCCGATCGCGACGAAACTTTCAGTAATTCGAGTTAATCAATTTTACACCTACCATGAAAATTCCATGACCCTAACCCTAATGACCTTTGACCTGTGACCTACTTTTCGAGGCCATGTTTGTCCGGAATCGCGATTCGGCGTATGTCGGCTTGCATTTGCCGCGCGTTTGCGGTCTTTTCGTGGTATCAAGCGTTCAAACATGTGATATGATGTTGCCCCATGCATTAGGGTAGGTGTCAAGGTCACCTGAAGGTCAGGTCAGGTCATTGACCCTTGATGACCTCGGTTCACTTTTCGAGTTTTACATGTTTCTAGGCTAGTTTTTGGAGCTGAATTCGAATTTAGCAACCATATGAACATTTAAGAAGTAGTTTTAGTGCATTCGTAGCATGTTACGAAGCTGTCAAAGCCGATTGACACGTACTACAAATACCCGTCACGACGCCTACTGGTTGACCTGACCTGACCTGACCCGACCTGGTCTAAATGCTTAACGACATCATCTGTGATCAAAACTAACACGATATTCGTGATCAGCACCCCGGAAAACCCCATAGCAGCCATACTTTACGACGTTCTAACAGGTCCCCATTTTCCCGACTTGTGGGTCATTGACCTGACCTGGAAGGTCAACCAATGACCTAGGACCTTAAAATGGGGTATCATCGGCTTTCTCTCGTCATGGGCAGCACGCTCGTTTTTTTTCCGCGAAGCTCTAGCTCGATCAGGGCCCAGGGGCGAAACGGCTCGAAACAACTCTAGTAGCCCCCCCCCCCCTTATACGTTCGCGGCTGGAAGAACACCAATACGGGCGAGAGTTAACCCGCGCCCCGTAGGGGGGGGGGGCGAAACGCCCCCCCCCCTGTCCTTTTTCGCCGATATCTCCTAAACGGCTGGAGATATCGCCACCAAACTTTCAGGACCCTTCCGGGCATCAATTTTACACATTGAGACTAAAACTTTTTCCAGAGGCTATGATAGGTTGGCCATAAATGACGTCAGAATGACGTCATGTTCTGGCATTTTCGACCGAAAAAAGACCTTCGCGAGAAGAGCCGTCAGGCCTACAACTTTGAAGATACAGAAAAATGATTAAGACATTGAAGGTGTAGAATTAACAGGGCTACAAAACTGCTATCTCGGATTTTTGAAACTTTTGAGTTGTGGTCCCCAAAAATCAAAAAAGCATTTTTTTGGGATATATTAGCCAAAAAAATAAAAAAATAGAAAGAACCGGAATATATGTGATAGCACCCACCGTCTTCTATCTACATAACGAATTTCAGATCGATATCTCGTTTTGTGGCCAAGTTATAGCGAAAAAAAACTGTTCAAAAATTATGACGTCAAATTTTCAAACTCAATTGTTGGCAATTCTAGACCACGTAGGGCAGAACAAAGACCACCATTAGACTCCCCGTGACGAGCTGCATCGAATCGATACCCATTAAATGCAAAAATATCAACTTTGAAATTTGACCTAATTTGACCCGACCTTGACCTGACCTTCACCAAAACGTGACCTTAGCTGGCCCCAAAGGCTGCCTGACCCACATAATCGCATTTGTCATGTAAAATGGACCATAAAACATGTATCACACGACACCTTTATATTGTGACCCCCCAGTGACCTGACCTCTGTGACCTGACCTGGTATCAGTTACCTGAGATAGCAAAGTATGTGTTTGAAGAACAATGTACCAACGATGGTTTTCCATAACTTAACAATTTACTCGATTTCACAACGCATTTCTTGAAATGCCTGTGAACGGTGAAAATCCGATCTCTGACCTGACCTGTGACGTCATCGTTTGACCTAGGTCAATGAAATTTGGTCACAAGATAGTTCCCCGGTGTGGCTATCGAACGCCGTTTGAATTTTGAAAATCGGCCGGTAAGTTTCCGAGATATTAGGGGGGCCGAAACGCCCCCCCCCCCCCCCACGGGTGGTAGGGTCCGCCCTACGGGGCGAGAGTTAATGTGGGATGGTCACATCAAGTGCATGAAAAGTTTAAGTGCATCAAGACATTAGTGAATGCTGCACCAATCAGACGGTGAGAACGAATAAATTCAAGATAATTAACCCTCGCCCGTAAACGGTGTTTTGCCACCTTCGCCCATGCAGGGGGTTGGTGCGACCCCCCCCCCCCTGGCGTTTGAAAACGGAGCGTCGTAGAGCTTAGCAGAAAAGGCAAACGGATTGCTCTCAACGAGATCTCGCGATTGTTGGTATATTTTTTGGTCCTAGGCCTACTTATGACCGGTCAAAGGTCAAATTTTCGGAAAAAATCCAACTTTTTCAGATTTCCGCGCCGATTGCGGCAAAATGGTAAGAGATATCGACTTGAAACCTTCACTATCGTGATCCTTGATCAATTCTCTATCGTTTGGTGTGTATTTCGATGTCATAACTCTAAAAATGATGCGTTGGGAGCATCGGAAGTCTGCAAGGTCATTTGTGCACTGGGTCACGTCAGGCGTGTGACGTCACTGACCTGACCCTGACCCAAAATGAACTGCAAGAAACAACCGACGATGCCTGAAATGGATAGCAAATTCGAATTCAGGGCATCAAAATACCCCGAAAAGGCATACAAGTGCAAGAAGTCATTACAGGTCAACCGAGGTCACTGACCTTACCATGACCTTAAGTAACCTTCAAAATGTCAACGGACATTGTGCCAATGTTAAATCAGCCAGTTGTGATTCTAAAACAATGCATCAGTGTGTCAGGTCAGTCGGCATTTATACCAATGTGAAGCAATCTCCATTTTAGCGTAAATCTGGCCGGAGGTTGTTCCCTTTATGACGTCATAACTCCGTGACCTGACATGACCTTGACAAAAAATACCAAAAGTTGCGCAAAGGATGCCCCAGAGGGTACTGAAAATTTGAGCAGGCTATCTGAAACGGTTCGGCGTGTAGCTAAGAAAAACCTCAGGGGGGGGTTGCACCCCCCCCCCCCTACATGGGCGAGGGTTAAATCATTAGCCCGCGCACCGAGGGGGGCGGTTGACCGCCCCCCCTTCCCCTGAGGTTGTTCGTAAATAGCGTAAAAACCGCGGCGCGTAGCGCCGCGGTTTTTACGCTATTTACGCTATTTAGTCATGCTAAATTTCGCGGCGCGTAGCGCCGCGAAATTTAGCATGACCTTTCCTCATTAATTTTACACATGGCGTGCAACTTTGCATCTCCTACTTTTCAAAGTCAGGTCACCAGGTCACTTCGAATGACCCAGCCTCAAATCACTTTTTTTTGCAAATATATCACCGTGTCAGAGCTACAGTAGATGACGGATGTCTTTAAAAGTAAGTCGCAGGATGTAACGAGGTCAATAGTAGCTACCATTTGTCTATCTCGGAATTATGATATCGATGACCTAAAGTCAGGACAATTTCTTGACCTCCCCATTTTAAGTCAATGGGGGAAAAGTCAACACCCTGTTTTTTTTTTCACTAAAACGCGCAGGAATGACCCAATATACCATGAATGACTTCAGATACGATCAACCTTGACTACCTTATGTCCTTTTTTGCTCTTGGGCAACTGTAAGGTCATGTGACGTCATCAAAGGTCACCAAAGGTTTTTTTTGCTGATAACTCTTCACAGGAACAAGATACAACTGCGCGGATGGTCTCATCGTGTTCAGCTCGTCAAGGCGCATCGAATTATTCATGATGTCCTTGAGGTCACGTGACCTGAGGTCAACCTTTGACCTTGACCTTTCGAGGTCAACGCATACATGTTTCGATGCGGATTGACGAGAGGATCACGATGGTGCTCATAGTTTGTTCCTATCTTGGCTCATTCAAAAGTTATTCGAGGAAAGTTCTCATCATATCTGGCGCTGCCATTTTAATTTCTTGACCCCTGTGACATCATCTTTGACCTGACCTAAAAATGACTTGAATAAAAATTGTAGACCTTGTCCGTACGTATCCCATGCCATTTGCCGCTCGTCTTTATCTTGCTTCGTTCTCGAGATTTTAGTTGGGCGTCAACCGTGCACCCCCCCCCCCCCTGTCGGTTCTAAGTTGGCACAGACCCCCGTCGGCGCGCGGGTTTATGACACGGAGCACGAAACGTACAGTTGACAGACTTGTTATGTGACTTTTTCAACAAAGCCCTTGAACCACCCGGCCGTCGTCAAAAACAGCCATACCGATGTTCGAACGAGACATTGGAGCAGTGCTGTGACATAAAATGCTGTGGCATGTAAGGGGCCAGTCATATCACTCACTTCCTTCTTGTGTTGTTCCATTCACGCTTGACGGAGAACCTTGCTTTCTTACGTCCTCGCAGAATGCAGCAACCTTGAATAGACATACAGATGTGTCAGCCAGTGCCGTATAGTACCTGTGGAATTAACCCGCGCCGGGCCGGGGGAGGGGTGTATGAACACCCCCTTGCGGTTTTTCGCTGATATCTCAAAAACGGCGGTGCAGAACGCCGCCGTTTTTGGCACACCTGTTTGTGCATCTTTTCCGCACATGTTGTGAAAATTTCAGACCCAGGTCACCCTAGGTCAGGTCACCAGGTCACGCCAAGTGACCTCACCTCAGAAAAAATAAGAATGCTCGTCATAGCTACACAGACTGATAGATGGCCTTGAAACTTTCAGCGATTGATTAAAGCAACATTATCTATAAAATTTATATCTCGGAATTTTGATATCGGTGACCTAAGGTCAGGTCAATTTTGCGGCCTCTCCATTATAAGACAATGGGAGAAAATTGAAAAGCTTCTGTTTTGCACGAACGCTATTCTAAACACTCTCAAACATCGAGATGTAGGTAAAATTGACACACTGAACCGGAAAATGGCAACTGTGACCCCTCGTTATGTCCGCGAGGTCATCTCAGGTCACGAACAGAATCTAACAGTTTTTTTCGCTAATAACTTCTGATAGAGGCGTGCTAGAGCGCTGAAAACGCCCTAGATATGTTCGGCTTGACGTTGCGGATCGACTGATATGCAACATGACCTTTTCCGGTCAGGTCATGACCTTAACCTGAGGTCAAATTTTCATGTTGACCTTTCAAGATCAAATTATAGTTCATTCGACGTGTCTCGACGAGAGGAACACGATGCTGGCAAAAGTAATGTCATGGCTCTTTTAAGTCAAAAGTTATTGCCGAAAAAAACGCTATTCGTAAAACGGCTATTTTTTTAGTTTTTGCCCTCTGGCTCTGGAGGCTAAACCGTTGACCTGAGGTCAAATCTGAGAACATTATTCAGAAAGGTCTGTAAAAGGGCTATCGAATGCGCTTTTTTTGCGGCGCTGTAGCTCTATCTGTTCCCGAGATAACCGTCGGCGTTTCCAAAATGTTGAAATAGTCAACATTTTACCTTTGGTGACCTCTGACCTGACCTTTGACCTGAATAAGAAGAAGTGTTAAGAAGTGTTTTCGTCCTTATTTTGGACGTTTTTTATTGCCGCTTATGGCGTGTTGCTACGTGGCCTAGGAGCCGAGTTAGAATGGGGGTGTTCAGACACCCCCCGGCCCTGTGCGGAATCTTGGAGCACCGGCCCGGCGCGGGTTAACTATCACACACATATAGGGAGGAAGGAGGTGGGATGGACCACATCGTTTTTTTTTTTTTTTTTGCAAATACCTCGCTAAACAAGCGGCCGATTGCAACACAACTTTCAGCACCCTCTATTTTATGAATTTTAGTCATACATACCCTAAAAATGTCATGATCCTGAACCAAATGACCTTTGACCTGTAAACTGTTCCCTAAGAATCAGGCCAAGAAGAGAGCCCCCCCCCCCCTCCTATCTCCGAAACTACTGCGCCAATCGTCAAAATTCAAACAGCGCCTGATAGCCCTGGAAAAACTGTCGAACGAAACCTATTTTCATTGACCTCGAGGTCACCAATGACGTCACAGGTCAGGTCAAAGTAAAAATTATCGGCATTTTTGCTTGTTTATAATTTAGGCTCTGGCCGCCGGCTGACAAGCCCGATCAGGCTCATTTTTTGTTTACGCACTCCTTGATATATGCCTTAACCCGCGCCCCAGTGGCGGTCTCAGCCAACTTCGCCCTAGTGGGGGGGGGGGCATATGTTACCACCCACCTCTAACTCAAAAACTAAGAGGGCTAGAAAGACGCGGTAAAAAGCAGTCGATAGCTCTCAATGAGTACGTTTGAAAGTATTTCAGTCATTTTTCATCTTGGAGCAATATTGGGGTCACTGGAGGTCATCAAAGGTCAAAATTTGCCAAATGTCATTATATTTTTCAGAAAACATGCATTTATCTCAGGAACTATGATAGCTAGAAACACGCATGGAAACGCAATCGATAGCTTTTGAACTCTTCTTTTGATAAGATCATCATCAAAATTGACCTCAGATCAACGGTTTAGCCTCCAGAGGGCAAAAACTAAAAAATAGCTGTTTTTTTCGCAAAGTGTTTTCAACAATAACTTTTGACTAGAAAAAGCCACGACATTTCTATTGCCAGAATCGTGTTCCTCTTGACGAGACGCGTCGAATGAACTATAATTTGACCTTGAAAGGTCAACTTGAAAATTTGACCTCAGGTCAAGGTCATGACCCGACCGGAAAAGGTCATGTTGCATATCATTCGATGCATCTCAGCAAGACAAACACAATGAGGCCATCCCCAGCGTCCTATCTCTTTCCAATCGAGAGTTATTGGCAAAAATCTGTTTGTAGCCACAAATGACCTCGGATGACCTTTCTAGAGGCTATCAGCAAAAAAGACACCTTGGTCGTCACGGGTGGTCCAAATCATTGTGATTCTGAAATATTTGGACTGTTCCTATGCGTACACACGGATCTAGAGGCATTTTCATTTTTCTCCATTGACTTATAATGGTAAGGTCACGCCACTGACCTGACCTTAGGTCACGGATATAAAAAAAATCCGAGATATACAAATTGTAGGCGCCCATAACATCATGCAATCCACCAAGTTTAAAACCTTTCTGACAAACACTGCAGGCTGGACATGATTGCAAACTTTTTTAGGCCTGGTCAGTTAACTTGACCTGGTGACCTGACCTGACATGACCTGGGGTCAAAAATTTCACAGATTGTCCAAAATTGATGTACAAAAAGCTATGCCAAGCGGCGCGGCGCTACGCGCCGCGGTTTTTTATTTATACGCAAAAACTGCGACAGGGTGGTAACATATGCCCCCCCCCACTGGGGTGAAGGTTAAATACCCTGAGGGTACCGAACTTTTCCTTTGAATTTTTCAGGTCAAGGCCAGGTCATCCTATGTCACGAAAATTGTATATAATGTATCGGTCACGTGACGCATGTTTTATGGTCCATTTTACACGTCGATTTCGAAAATAATGTCGTCTGTGTCATTTGAGGTCATTTTCAGCTGAATTTACCGGAGGTCAGGTCAATTTCAGGTCAGAAAAGGTCAAATTTTGAAAATGAAATTTTTCAACAAAAAGTTGCTTATCAGATGTAGTTTGAGCTCAGGAACACGATGGTGCCATTTAAATTGCTGTACAATGTCAAAAACGTACTGAAAATGGTTTTTGAAAAATATATAGGTACTTGTAAAATTTTGACAATAATGCAAATAACTTGTCTGTTTTTAAAGATATTGGGCTCAAACTTGCTAGAGTTCATCAGCTAGCATGTAGTTCATCAGCGTGTGTTCTATCACATATATTCCGGTTTTTGCGAAAAATCAAATTTAAAAAAAAATGTATTTATTGTAATTGTAAAACATATTTTTCAAACTTTTCAAAATTTCGAAAATTCGAAATAACAGTTTGATAACTACGTGTATTTGTAGTCCACTTATGCAAAGAAATTGGATCTAGCTTTAAAACTAAGCTCTTGAGAGCGTTTGCCGTAATTCAATATTTTGCATTAAAATCGGCCGACATGACGTCACTCTGACGTCATTTCCAGCCAATCTATGGTAGCTAGAAAGTTTAAATTTTAACACACAGTGTCAAATTAACCCGCGCCCTGCTGGGGGGGGGGGGTGTTTGAACACCCCCCCTTGTGGTTTTTCGCAAATATCTCAAAAACGGCGGCGCAAAAGTTTCAATGTCTGTCATAGCTACACCGAGTGACCGATCGCTTTGAAACTTTCAGCGATTGCTAAGAGCAATAGCACGTACAAAATGTATATCTCAGAATTTTGATACCGGTGACCTAAGGTCAGGTCAATTTTGCGACCTCCCCATTATCCCGCGCCCTGCTGGGGGGGTGTTTGAACACCCCCCCCCCATGTGGTTTTTTGTACACCTTATCATACATCAATTCTACACATGTTGTGAAAATTTGAGACCAAGGTTATTCAAGGTCAGGTCACCAGGTCACTTGAAGTGACCTCACCTCATAAAACGTTTCAATGTCTGTCATAGCTACACCGAGTGACCGATCGCTTTGAAACTTTCAGCGATTGCTAAGAGCAATAGCATGTACAAAATGTATATCTCAGAATTTTGATATCGATGACCTAAGGTCAGGTCAATTTTGCGACCTCCCCATTATAAGTCAATAGGAGAAAATGGAAATGCGCCTCTTTTGGACGAAAGACATTAAAAACACTCCCAAACACCGAATTACAAGTGGTTTAGACACACAGAACATGAAAATGGTGTCCGTGACCCTTGTTTATGCCCTGAGGTCATCTTAGGTCACGAATGGTATCTAACAGTTTTTCGCAAATAACTTTTGATAGAGGCATGCTAGAGCGATGAAAACGCCTTAGATGTGTTCAGCTCGACGATAGGGATCGACTGATATGCAACATGACCCTTTCCGGTCAGGTCATGACCTTGACCTGAGGTCAAATTTTCAAGTTGACCTTTCAAGGTCAAGTTGTAGTTCATTCGATGCGTCTTGACGAGAGGAACACGATGCCGGTAAAAGTAAGCTCGTACAAGGCTTGGGTCAAAAGTTATTGCAGAAAAACTGTTTCCGAAAAAAAATCGGCTATTTTTGCAGTTTTTGCCCCCTGCAGGCAAAACCGTTGACGTTAGGTCAAATCTGAGAGAATTGATCAGAAAGGGCGTTAATAGGGCTATCAAATGCGCTTTTCCGCGGCGCTGTAGCTCTATTGTTTCCCGAATTATGCGTTGGCTTCTTGGAAATTTTCGACATTCGACCTGGAAATCAGCGAAATTTTGCCTTTAATGACCTCTGGTGACCTGACCTTTGACCTGACCAAAAAATTGACTGGAGTGATTTCGTCATTATTTTTGACGCTCTTTCGAACGCCGACTTCCGCGTATCGCTACGTGGCCCAGGAGCCGAGTTAGAAGGGGGGGGGTGTTCAGACACCCCCCAGCAGGGCGTGGAAATCCAGGACACCCAGCCGGGCGCGGGTTAATGCCGCTGAGGGCACCGCAAGTTTCGTGCTGATCCGTTAAACGGTTTAAAAGATATTGCCGAAAAACGGGAGGGGGGCTCTGTAGAGCCCCCCCCCCCCAGTCATGCGCGGGTTGAAATTAAATTAAACAAAACAAATATAACCAAAATTGTATTCAACGTTGAGAAGGTCGAGTCAATGGTAAGAGGTTGACTGAAGGACCCACCCACCTCCAGAGTGTATGAAGTGACCTCCTTCAGCCCGGTCACTGTGGCGCCGCACTGACGTCCGAGGTGGGCTGTCCGGCAGCCGGGCCCGTCGGCGGGCACCGTCAGCAGAGCGGGGCAGCCGTCACCGCGGCACTCGACCCGGTACTCGGTGATTCGGCAGAGCGGCGGCGACGGCCTGTCCCACCCGACCGTGAGGCTGGTGGACGTTACGGTGAGCACGGTGAAATTGGCTGGCCGATCCGGACCTGACCCACCAAACACGGACGGACGTCAGCAGGGGGAGGCGGCAAAGCGCTTGGGTAGGCTGTCGGCTCAGTTAGGTAAAGGTGGTGTGGCACCGACGTTTAAAAGGGACCTTACAAGCTTATAGAAGAAACGGTTGCAGGAGTGTAACTCTTCCTGCATTCTGTTTCATGCATTATACAGTTACGTACTAGCTCGTCATACCACAGTAAAAATGCGATGCTTTGTCGAGCTCATCTTATACCGCACCGTAACTGCTCTGTCGTGTAGAGAAGCGTGTCGTCTGCGGATCTGGCGAAACACCAACGCTGTTGTTCATCGAAACTTGAGCAAAGTAGTTGGAGTATGGTGTAAGCTCGATGATTTCGATTTCAGTTTGTGACGTTTTGCCGACCTTATCATACCTTGTATTCATGTTCCATGCACTTGCACCTAGTACGAGGACGTTAACCCTGTGAACATTAGGATCGATCAATATATTTATCCAATTCAGCTTATTATAAAAATGAATATCATAATGTTGAAAGAAATCCAGAAATGAACAATAGTTAACCATGACACTCAGAAGCAATATGTAATTAGTCTGCGTACCTGCGGGGGGGGGGGCAGTTATCCACCTAAGACTGCTCGTAAATGGCGGGAAAACGCGACGCGTAACGCCGTGAAATTTTGCGTCACTGTTTCTTTTACAATTTCACATATTGTGTGCAAGTTATAAGTTCCTTTTCCAAAGGTCAGGTCACAGTGTCACTTTTAATGACCCAACCTCAAATGACTTCTATACAAGTATGTCACCGTGTCAGAGCCGTACATACGTACAGTACATGACCGAGCTCTTTCAAAGTTGCAGTATGAATGAGGCCATAGGTAGATGCCGACAATTTTTTTTTAAATTTTGGACCATTTATACCGATGACCAAAGGGATAAATTCTTAACCTTTCTATTATAATTGTCAATTGGGAAAAATCACATGCCTCATTTTTCACTGGAACGAGTAGTAATGACCAACTGCTAAATTTGTCAACTGCAAAGCCATGTGACCTCATCAAAGGTAACCAAAGTTTTGTTTCCTATAGTTCGTTTTCCAAAGGGACGCTGGCTCCAAGTTCATTACCGAAGCTCTCACGTGAGTTGTAGCAACTTCAGCGTCTGGCCAAGAATTTCTTACCGAAAAAAAAATCGATTTCAAATTGTGCACGGTAAGTACCCGGAAATTGTGTCTTAAAAAAATAGCATACGTTGATGACGTCACTGGTTGCAGCAGCACCTAATGTCCGTACCGCGGTGGGACAAAGTGTTAACGAATTTGGGGAAACTTTGTTTTTTCACTGTTGCCGATTTTATAATTGAGTAAGCGGTTCCGTCCATGGTATTTATACGTCACATTGCAATACAAGTTTGACAGCATGACGGCACCACTGTTTACGGAGCGAGCGAAGCGAGCGTAGGGGAGTATCATGTCCAAGTTGTATCAGGGTGAATTGTGCCAAACTTATCCAATAGATAGCGCTCGTGACACGACCAGCCGACGAGGTTTTCCGGGCGCCATCTTTCCCTGTTATGTCGTGTGGCTGGGTGGACGCGTCTCGAGGTGACAGGCGATTTTATGTTTTTTAATGTCATTCTAAAAAATAAGTTGCAAGAAAATGTGTGTTTTGGGCATTTAGATGTGCATGAATTTGAAAGATCTCCGTAGCGGTGGTGAGGGTAGGTTCTAAGGCTGCGTGAGTGAAAATGGATTTCTCCAGCTGTCCGCTGTTTTTGAGCACGAGGATGTTTTTCCAAGATGGCGGCGAGGTACATGTTGTATCAGAGCCGGGTGGGGTATGTTGTAACATGTATGTATGTATGTATGTATGTATGGGTATGTTGCTTTTGATCGCGAAAGCTAAGCCCTGTCTCGCGTTTGTAGGTAGCTAGTCAATACTCGTTCCATTTCGGCACAATGTTTTTCTTCTTTGCTGTTAACGGGCCACTTTTGCACTTAGTCTGTTGATGTTTCGTTCGTTTCGATATTTCGTTCGGATTGACCCAAGTTTGGTCTAATAAAAGTGAAGCCTTTGAGCATGTACATTGTATTAACCCCATTTAATGTTGTTGTTATGTTCAAAACCAGTAGCAAGCACACTCCCTGAAACGTGAAATGGTGATACAAATTACCCCACCATGTGATACAACTCACCCAAGCCATGGGGTAAGTTGTATCAAAAACATTGTTCTATTCGGCAGACCGTAGAAGAAAAACTGGTAGAGGTAGCGGAAAAGTTACTTTGCTCAAAAAAGCAGAAGAATCAAGGAAGGAGATAGTATGGAAATAATGAGTTTATCACGGATAGTTATGAGGTTATGGGTCTCGGAGTAAAAACTGATTACGGAGCGAGCGAAGCGAGCGGAGTCTTTACTTAGATTAACGGAAATTTCTGAGTATGTGCGGACGCTTTTGCGAGGCTTATATCTCAGCAACCACTTGACCGATTTACATGCGGCAATTTTTGTAGGGTAGCTTCATTCCTTCTACCAAGTATTGGACTATTCCCGATGCATGTGGGTGACCCCTTATGCACGTGCCACGTGCAAAACGAAGAGGTGTCAGTTTTGTAATTGTTACAATATATTGGTAACTACTTGGCCGATTGCGCTGAAAGTTGGTATGTAGGTAGGCACCCACTAGGCACTGCATATTCATGTGCCAGAGTTGGGGTGCTGCTGCACGTGCGCACGTGCAGGGGCCGTTTCCAGATCTCGAGAACGGCTGGACCGATTGCGCTCAAATTTGGTACACAGTTAGGGACGGGTTAGTAGGGTGCCGTGCACAAGTCAGTTGGGACCCATTTTGCACGTGCGCACGTGCAGGGTGCCGCTTCCAGATCTCGAGAACGGCTGGGCCGATTGTGCCCAAATTTGGCACATCGCTAGAGACCGGTTAGTAGGGTGCCGTGCACAAGTCAGTTGGAGGTACCCCCTCGCAATTTCGCACGTGCGAGGCTCACCCTCTCGCTCGCTCCGCTAGTCGCCCCAAAAGGCGTTATACTGGTCTAATATCTAGTCCCAGAACGCACGGATGGAAATTATTCGGGAAAAAATCACATGTTAAGAAATTAGTCGACGTTCGGTTTTCTCAGGTTCCGTTTTTGCCTGTTTTGCTCGCTAAAACACGAGCTTATTAAAAAAACATACTTGGAGCCAGAATCCTGAAAAATTACAGGGTGTCCGGAAAAAGCTTTCCCAAAGAATCTTTAATAAAATTACCAATTTTGGTAGTACTCAGCTGAATTTTTCAAGTAGGTAGATATGTTACAGGCAATGTGTGGAATCAGGCATTATATAGAATGCCTAGGCTTTCACCGGGCCCAAATACAGGACCCTGTGGTGGCCCGTAAGCCAAAAATACCATACCATTCTATAGAATGCCTGACCGACCAGGCATTCTATAGAATCCCTAGGTATTCTGTAAAATCCCTGACTGCTTAGGCATTCTATAGAATGCCTGGCTAAAGCTCCCAGGCATTCTATTGAATGCCTAAGTATTTTGATTGTGCGAAACACACTTCGAAAATTAGGGGTCAGTGGCAGTAATGCTATTTGTTTACCTAATTTTCATTGCTGGCCTAGGCCGGTCGTCACCTCACACCATTTCAGGGCAATGAGTTGAGAGGAAGCGAGGGAGAAATTGGGCTATGCCGACCACCAAATGGTGCGCCGCAAGCAGCAACTGATCCAATCCCGTTGGCACGCGGGAGAGCCACGGCGCAAGGCACGCGGGAGAGCCACAGGCCAACCAGTCGCTTAAACGGTTACCCTCGGAGGATTATGCTGCTATAGATACGAAGCTGCATTAGAAGAGTGTTGGCTGGGAGGGTGGACCGTACGGCTTGAATCGAAAGTGATTGCGAATGACAATGGCTTTGTTCTGATGTTAGAAATGAAGGTAAAAATACACCAAAGGTCACATTTTATGTCGTCATAAGCACTTCGTGTAACGACTCTCAATATACATGGACACTGGACAGCTCAACCTACACTGTAATGTCAGGGAGTAACCTGAATAAATGGTTCATTAATCCACGTCCGGGCGGTGGCCCGGCCGTAGAGCCGGATTAGGTGTTGTTCGATCTCCCCTTCCAGCTTGACTTCTGGGCCATGTGGTATTCGAAAGGTCGTCAAACTTATGAAATTTTACTCCAGTGCTTCTTTGGCAATGTTAAAAGGATGACATATATAAAACAAATAGCTAAGCCATTTTTAGGTCAGGCCAATTTTGTCCATTTTTGGCTCGTAGCCGTTTTCTCCAGTTTGACCTTAACCCGCGCCCCACTGGATGGGGGGGCTATTTATAGCCCCCCCTCCCGTTTTTCTGCAATAACTTCCAAACCGCTTGACGTATCAACGCCAAACTTTCAGTACCTTCGGCTGCATCAATTTGACACCTTGTGTCAAAATTTGAACTTCGTACCTACCATAGGTCGGCCGGAAATGACGTCAGAGTGACGTCATGTTCGGCCGATTTCGACGCAAAACATTGAACCACGGCAATCGCTCCCAAGAGCTCAGTTTTTAAGCTAGATCCAATTTCTTTGCATGAGAGGACTCAGAATAGACTGCGCTATCAAACTGCTGTCTCGGATTTTCGAAATTTTGAAAATTTCGAAAATTTTATATAATAAAATTCATAATTTATATTTTTACATTTTTTCAAAAACTTTTTGACTTTTCGAAAAAAACGGAATATATGTGATAGAACGCATTATTATGACTAACTCTAGCAAGTTTTAGCTAAATATCTTCAAAAATGGCCAAGTTATACGCATTATTGCAAAAAATTAACAATTATTAATTTTTCAAATCAATTTTTCAGCACGAATTTGACATCGTACGCCAATATAAATAGCACCATCGTGTTCCTGAGCTCAAACTGCATCCAATAGACACCTTTTTTGTTGAAAAATTTTAACTTCAAAATTTGACCTTTTTTGACCTGAAAGTGACCTGACCTGAGCTAAATTTGACTCAAAATGACCTCGAATGACACAGACGACATCAAATTCGAAATGTTTGGCCTAAATGGACCATAAAACATGTGTCACGTGACCGAAGGATGAAATAATATTTTCGTGAACTGTGATGACCTGACCTTGACCTGAAAATCAAAGTACAAGTTTGGTACCCTCAGAGTATCTAGAGCATCTGTTCACGAGTGTGTGAACCAAAAATGAGCCTGATCTGACTTGTAAGACGGCGGCCAGAGCCCAAAACGTGAAGAAGCCAAAATGCTAATAATTTTTACTTTGACCTGACCTGTGACGTCATCGGTGACCTCGAGGTCAATGAAATTAGGTTTCGCTCGACAGTTTTTGCGGGGCTATCAGACGCCGTTTGAATTTTGACGATCGGCCCAGTAGTTTCGGAGTTAGGAGGGGGGGGGGCTATGAATAGCCCCCCCCCCCCCAGTAG